ACATATCACTTGGTGCACAATCACGGCCAGAATGGAACTCAACTCCAGGACAAGGAGGTAGAGGTCGCAATGATCATTACCACGTGGCCTATGACTAAGATGAATTTGATGGCTTGGGCCCCCCCTTGAGGAGAATGAATCTGCAATGCCAGCTCGAGTCCCTGTCAAAGGACAGAGAGCACTCCGACCCAATTAGTCGGGAATCCAACGTAGACGACTACCTTTGGGAGGTTGAAAGTTGCCTCCTTTGGGGGACCAGACATTATCAGAACAACTCCGGAGACTTTCACGACTGACACTGCCCCTTTGTTGATTTTGTTAGACCTCATCTGGAAAGGCAATGCCAGTGCATTTACACCTCAGTAGTGATGGGGTGAGCAGCTTGTGAGTGTGGTTCCTCAACTCCACCCCTCATTCTTTGTTGGGGCGGACCTTCTTGTCAGGCTAGGCACAAAGCTGGATACCATTAATCAAGTCCTATGGTCCCAGGTCAGTGCCGAAAGATACACATTATCTGCCAAACAAGCTCAAATGTCATCAGGGCAGACCATCCCTCAGACATGCCAGGTGTCCAGTGCGATCAATAATCATCCCTCCGCGATCTGCGGGAGCACCAATCCGTCTCATAATCCTCAAGGGACAATGGATACCTGGTCCAAAGGCTTTCTTCCAGCCTTCTGGGAACTTAACTTGACAGTCTGTGGTACACCCATGCTTGAGTTAAATAATCAATCAGCCTATTTGCTTGTCCAGAACCTGACACACTACCCCATTCAGTTAAAAGCATATTGAGCATTAGGAATGTTGATAGACAGCTCATTCCATATTTTGAACCTGTCAATGGGGAGCTTCCCCCATCCCTAGTCAAGAATGGTGAGGTTGACTGAATTCTTTTCACGTCTCTGACCAAAATGATCACTGTCATGCGTCATGAGTCACTGCAAGACAAAACCATATGCGGTGTCTCATTGACAACCGAAGGTGACATGATTGTATATGCTAGTGCGACTCACCCAGGAGATGACACCTCATGTAATGTGCAACCAGAGGAACCATACCCCAGTTTTGAGACTGAGATTAACCAGCAACTTGAAAAGGCTGACGCCCTGACAACAGCTTAACAGAGAGACATGCTTGAGAGCCGATCACCTTCTCGGTGAAGCAAATGATGTGCTACAGTCTGACCTGTCCTTGGCATCAGCTTACCATACAGTGATGGATGAGATGAGGATGTTTTTTTGGTGAAAGAGCTGATGTTTAGCTACCACTTCAGGTCCTGGACGATAAAGGTGCCTATGAAGCAATATGATTCCACACAGTGTCCACTGGAGAGTCACACAGGGTGATGGGGGCAGGGGCAGGACTTGGCTCTTAACTGAGACATATAACTGAGAACATGAATAAAATAACAGTATTTACTTTTAAAACTTTGATTAGACAAATCAGTTTGTGACATAATGGAAAAGTGTGTCAATGTTCAAAGTATTTGTACATAAGAAAATGTCTGAGAGAGGTGAAGGGAGCAGCAATGGCACAGGTGTCTGCTGCCTCAAAGACATTCACTGTTTACCTGCTGTTTGTCAAAGTGTTCTGTTCTGTTGCCAAGTGCTTTTAAATATTAAAGCATGATCACATCTACCTTATTTGTCACCAACTCCTGAATGACAAGTTTTAAAATGCATAAATGCTTAAAATTACTCCCCTTCATAAACACATGAATAGCAGCTACATAAACTGACCAGTTAAGAAGTCAGGCCAAAAACTATCCATCAGGAAGCAGCAGGGTGCAGTGAGACAGGCGCCCTCCAATTTATCTGAAAGATTATGTCACTACAGTTGGTGTTCAACATATGCCTTCATGCAGAGCTACACAGGAAAAGGAAAACGGCTCATCCAGCCATACTCACTCCAATTGAAACCTAACCACACCTCCTCTGGATCAAGGATCTGGATGAAATCAAACAACATGAGGAGAAAATGGAGGCAGAAATGACTTGCAGTAAACTGGATAACCAAGAATCATGAATCGGAGTGTCTTTACCAATCAACTTTCAAGAGCTAGGAAGGTCAGTCAAACAACAGATAAAGCTTGAGGAGGCTAAACTGGTTTCCAGTCTATACCAGAATAAAACCTCATACACAACTATTTTCCCTCAAGAGAAAGCAGGGGGTGTAATTTCACATTCTCCCCATTGATCTCCCTTAAACGGTACTGCCACTCCATGTGACCCTGTTTCAGCTGATATATCTATGCAGTCTGATCAACTGGAAGTTAATAAATATATATAGTCAATGATGCGCAATGACATGCCCACCTCTTCTTCCAGTCCAGTCTTCTTTCAGTAATTCAGTCAGTCCCTACCTTAACACATCAGAGGGTATCTAAATCACGGTCAACAGCCTATAGTATCATCATATCTGCCTCTTGCACCCCCAACTATTAATCCAGTGCAGCTGGTGACCTCACAGCCAAATCTTGCAGCTGTTGATTTCCTTTTCCTATGACTTGCCTAAACCCAGACTGCCCTGAAGAGGGCTCTGAATACTCTTGTTGGGAGTCAACCTCATCTCTCAGAACAATATAAATATCAGAATTAGCTCAATCATCCTAAACACCTCAGTGAGAACAAGCCTGCAAGGTCATATATCTATGACACTCAACCTTACACCTCAGAGTAATGGACATTTTTAGATCTAACTGTTTGACTTGAATATGCAAAGTGAGTTCAGTTAAAATAGCCTGAATCAGCATTAAGCTCTAATAGGAATGTTTACTTGGGTGTTATACATGGGAAATGTTTGTGCACTGTGAGTTGGATCAACTGGTGAATTATTTGATAAAATATGCAGTCTGTACACTTAGGAAAGAGAGATCAATGTCCACCTTCTCCACCATGCAGCAGGTTGCAGGATGTCTGATCATGGATCAATGGTGGCGTGAACGAGGACAGCTGTGTGTTTCAAACTTTGTGTATAAAAGCCAGCTTGTCAGAAGAGATAGTTGTCAGATTCTTGAGCCTGGCATGGCTTTAAGAACTCTGTCCCTACTTGGCCAAATACTAATACTGTAAATGCAAATTCTCACCACAAATCACCTTACATCAACGCCACCAAGACAAAAGAGATGGTGATAGACTTTTGCAGGAATTGCCCCAGACCACACAGGTGAACATCCAGGATGTGGACATTGAGATCATAAAGGACTACAGATACCTGGGTGTTCACCTCAAAAACAATCTGGACGTGTCCATAAACACAGTGGTCCTTTGCAATAGGGGCCACAGTCACTTCCATCTGCTGAAGATGTGGTGGCTTCCGCAGGGTTCTACGCAATTGTCTGCTGGGGGTGTGGATGCACTGAGAGGGACAGAAAAAGACTAAATAAACTGGTTAGGAGAGCCAGCTTGGTCTTGGACTGCCCTTTGGTTTCCACTGAGGTGGGTGAGAGGAAGATTCTAGCAAAGCTGTATTCAATCATTGACATCCCCTAGATGACACCATGGGGTGCCTTCATTCCCACTGCTGTCAGACTGTACTACATCATCTGGACATTTTATTCTTATGTACAAAACAGATTTTTACTTGCCTGTACAACCATCCTACATATAATGTACACTACTCAGCATTCATTTTTATTTGACTTTTAATTCTTAATTTTTATTCTATTGCCTTTATATTCTTGTCTAAATCATCACAAAAGGTTTCCGCTACAACACAAATCAATGCCACCACTTACCTACTCCAGACTGCACTGGAGTCAAATAATCGTTCAACTCGATGGTCGGATTTCCAACCTGTACCAGATCCAGGAGAATGAACGACTGTTGGACTCAGTGGCTGCTAAGGCCTCCCATATTCCTGTCAACAACACCACGCTTCCCTGGCTAGTCATAAAAATCATGTATGAATCTTGTAAAAATCATGTATGACAACCTCCATTTGTGTCACATGATTTTTAGATCAAAATTTAGGAAAACTTGTTAGCTTTGCAGAAATGTCACACTATGAAATCTATCAGAGCTAAAATTTTGGCTGTATCCATTTTTTTTAACTTTAGTTTTCCGTTGCCCCTATTGTTAATTTTGAGAGGAAATTTCTGGAAGGAGCACTTAAATCACACTTTTGTAACTCACCCCAATGGTCACATTTCTTAACTCTAACTCTATCAGATGGACTTATAGTTTGTTTGAGGAGTGTGCCAGGGCTTAGATCTGTCTCTTTTCCAGTGGAGCAAGAACAGATGCAAGCAATCAGTGAGTTTCTATGGCAACATGATACACACACAGAGTAGAGGGGGACAGTTGAACTATTTAAGATAACAACTTTCACAGTTATCAACATTTTGATTTAGTTTAGTGGGTACATAACTTGAACAGTGAATCAGTGGTTGTGAGTTTAAGACCAAGTAAGGGCAAAACTTTTATTTTGCTCTTTACTGCTGCATTCCGAATCCTTTTCCTCTCAAATAGAGGCTGGATTTACAAAGATAATTACAGGTTGTTACCAAGAAACCCAAAAGGAGGCTGGATTTTCAAAATAAAACCACCAATAAGAGACCCTCACTTCTTACCATCTCAGGGCTATTGCTTTGAAAATCCAGCCTCTATTCATGTTTCTTGGTAACATCCTATAACTATCTAGGGGGGTTCTATTTTGAAAACCCAGCCTCTATTAGAGAGAGAGGACTCTGTTACCAGGAAACTCGAAAGGCCGGAGTTTCAAAGTAAGACACTTCTGCTCGCCTCTCTCTGTGTGGGTCTCTCTCTTAAATCAGCTAGTCTGTCTGTCTCTCAAACTGACAGTCTCTGGAATTTCCTGGCATTTCCAGAGAAATTTTGAATGTGTTATTAGTTGGTTTTTTCTAGTTATTATTATTATAGTCTGATTGTCAGTAGTTATTCCTCTGTCTGCTTAGTTAAACTTAACACTTTGTTCCACATCTACACAAACATTTTTTCAACTGCATGACCTGAGGCAGAACACATCAATGAATGAAGGTGTGAGTGAAGGTAAAAATAGTTTATTGCACAGAATTCAACTCAACCCTACTCAGATTAAAGTAATTTCAATACTAATTAGAATATTATTACTACTTAATTACATCATATCAGTCTGTCTGATAAGAACCTTACTACCTCCAGCTGATCAGAGGTCTTAGTCAGAGCATGGCTTCCCATTGTCTCTGTCTTCTGCAGAGGTCAAAGGATGAGTAAATGGGTCGTGACGATAGGTTGGGCGTCAATTTTACATTGTCCTCCTCTGGTGGGAGGGGCTTCTGTCTGAGTAAGTCAGAGGACATAAAAAGGAAGCGGGATGGGCCATCTGCTGCTGTGTTGTCATGGAAGAGGGGACGGGTGGTCAGCCTGTCCTGAAGCACCAGGCTGATCAGCTGATCCTTCTGCAAGTTGACACTGACCAGAGAGTTGAAGAGAGACTGTGAGCGAGAGACATTTACCACTAGAGTGAGAGAGAGAGGGAGAGAGTAGACACTTAAAAGCAGAATGTACATGGACTCAGGAAATCCCAAAGTAAATACAAAGGAGCTATAAAGCTATAATTTTAACAGTCTGCTAGTGTTCAAAATTTCATCTGAAGAGGTAAGGTCATAAGAGTCACAGCAGAAATATCACTCTAGGCCTGACTTCAAGTAAGAATTTTAGATTGTGTTCATCATCAAATTGTGTCAGAGACAGAAATTGTAATCAGTTATTAACATCAATAGTTTTTTTTTTTAGTTTTAGTTTATTTCATTGTATGCCAAAGCCAGTTGTTGTCCTTGTCTATCATTTGCCCTGCCTGTTGTGGAAACACCCAAGAAACACCCAGAAAATGAGTTTTTCTTTTTGATACTTTTTATACTTAATCAACTCATTGCATATTCGCTGTATTTTTCACCTTTATGTAGAGTTCTACTAATAATTTTGTGCTTTTCAAATGCACTGTTAAAAAAATAAGTCAACCATCCGATCTTGATGAACTAATTATTCAAGTGTACAATACTGTACATTCTACAATTTGTTGACAATGTAACAACTGTCAATGGAAGCCAAAATCATTAACCCCTTAAGGGCTAGATTCAAAACCACATCGAAAATCAAAGTCAAAAATTAATATCACAGGATGACCAAACTTGTGGAATTTTGGGGCCCACTGCACCAGCGTAAGGTCTGATAATCGTCCCGGTACCTAACAGCAGTCAGGGTACTGTAGCCTATGACATGCAGGTCTGTGAGAGCCTCCAAGGATATGCCTCTCCAGACCATCAATGACACACTACCAAAGCAGTCATGCTGGGTGATGTTACAGGCAGCATAACATTCACCACGGCATCTCCATACTCTGTCATGCCTGTCACTTGTGCTAAGTGTGAACATCCTCTCATCTTTGGAGAGAACAGGGTGCAAGTGGCAGACCTGCCAATTGTGTTCTCTGGAGAATGCCAATGGAGCTGTACAGTGCTGAGCTGTGAGCACAGGTCCTACTGGAGGCTGACGGGTCCTCGTGCCACCCTCATGAAGTCTGTTTCGTCAGAAACATGCACACCAGTAGCCTGCTGGAGGTCATTTTGAAGGGCTCTGGCAGTGCTCCTCCTGTTCCTCCTTGCACAAAGGAGAAGATACCAGTCCTGCTGCCAGCCATGTCCAGCTCCTACGGCCCTGTCTAGCTCTCCTTGTTTAACGGATGGTCTTCTGGTATCTCCTCCATGCTCTTGAGACTGTGCTGGGAGACAAAGCAAACTTTCTTGCGACTGCACATATGGATGCGCTATCCTGGAGGACCTGGATTACTTGAGCAACCTGATTGGGCTGCAGGTACAGCCTCATGCTACCAGTAGTGACAAGGACAATCACAGAACACAAAACTAGAGATGATTCAGTCAGGAAGGTTAAGGAGAGTGCAAAACCATTTCCTTTTGGGGGGGTTTCTAAATTTTGCCTCCCCATTGCACCCGTTGTCACTTTCATTTGCACCAAAGGAGGGGAAATTGATTCACAATCACTTCTGCCATAAAATGGACAAATTGATACCCCTGAAGTTAAATGACATCTCTTTGTGATGTATGTGCAACATGTGGGTTTTTAGCATATCTGGCAGAACCATCCAATGCTGTAACCTGTTATTAAAAGGGGCCATTCACTTTTCGGTATGGATTTAACGATACATGTATCTGAATTGCACATGTCCCAAACGAATACAGCAAATCCACGTGTGGAAATTATTTGCGTGCGTCTCAAATTCCGAAGGGCAACTTTAGCAAAGGACCGGAAGTGCTGTAGGCTTGTAGGGAATATCTAGCTTCAAATTCTTCAAGTGGTCTGCACAGGAGCCTTTGCCCAGCAACACAATGATTCAGGTGGGGCTGATTTCCTCATCACTACAACATGCCAACTCCAGGCCTATCTCCTCCTCAGCTGCGCAAGCAAGCTGTTTATCGATTCTGCCTGATCGCGGATCCCATCCCGAGCAAAATCCATTGCTGGTCCCCCGTGGCGCTTGTTCGCATCTACAAAAGAACCAGCAAAGCGTCTTTTTCCAAAGCCCTGTATGTAGGCCATACATAGCTCAGTCTGCTAATATCAGATCAAAAATATTACAAGGCAAAGACATTAATTAAATTAAATTTTATTTATATAGCATCAAATCATAATATACATTATCTCAAGGCACTTTACATAGAAGGTCATATTACGACCTGGTATCTGTGAACCATACTTGAGCCTACATGTGTAGCCAAAAGCCTGACTGCATGTCTCCTTTGCTCTGAAGACAAAGGAGGGCTTCCAGAACTCATTCTCCCAGGGTGCTTCATCTTCACACAAAGGTGGTAAAACTGCTCCTGGAGACAACTTTCAACCACTATTGGTCACTGTGTGCCCCATGAACCATGAGGTCACAAGGCCAATAAAAGCAGAGGAAACGCAGGGGAAACCCTCTCCTCTCCCTCTTTTCCTGCTGACCGCTCCTGGAGGAGTCGGTACTGCTCCTGCTCTCCCGGCAGGGGAGACTTCCTCTCTACATAAGCTAATCAACTTCAAGCAGGCCTGCCTGGTTAAGACTAAAACCTTCCAAAGGCAGCGACGCAAGCCTGCCTAAGAACTTCAGCACAATTGGCCACGACACAGGGTCTGACCAGCAGATGCACAACAGGAGCCACAAACCAACAAGACCACTTCACTGGACTTCAAACAGCACATCCAAAAAAGACGTTTCCCCCTTTTTCATGGACTGGTAACACAACTGGGCTTTATTATTACGCTAGGCTAAGCAAAGGACTGTTTGATTCTATTTCTATTTCACGTGATGTTTGTAAGTTTGACTTGTGTTGTTGTGATATTTGGTAATCTGTTATTTGAAAGTTAATTTTACTTCTGTTATGCTGTTCCTTTTATCTGCATGCATGTAACTACTTTCTTTAACCTGGCACCAACAACTCACACACTCATCTCCACAAACTAAACACATACATGTGTCCTCATAGTGGCCAGCCGCCATTTTGAATTTCACTCTCTCACACACACACACGCACACACAGCTGCACATCTGTATATAGTAAGTACATCTTTTGCTAGTTTGTGTGTTAATACTTTAACCATTTTCATAATGAATGTTTTTCTTTAAAACATGTCTTCATTAATGTTGCATAAGTGTGAATTTTGCCAACCTCTACACTGTCAAGAACTCCATATCCTTCAACTTTGCTAGCTATTGATGTGGTAATTTTGGTTATAGTAATTTTTTAAATTATTAATCAGAGTTCCAAATTTGTAGTCAGTAATTTCATGAGACTTATTCAATAAATTGGCTAACTTTTCCCTTCCTTTGAAGAGTGGTATCCCAAT